GGGGTGGGCTTGGACAGGGGATCAAGTGAGGCCAGGAAGGAAGCTCAGAGGGGGAAGGGGTTCAGTTCGGACTGCGCTGTATGGAGGCGAGCAGGCAGCAAGATGCTACTCGAGCGGAACATGAGATGATAGGACACGCGAGCGCTGCTTCATCGCACTGCGCTGCGCACCTTGAGGAACACCTCCGCGTTCATTTCGGCGGCGCGCAGGGCAGCGGCGGTGTCTGCGCGGCGTGGTGGGGACGTTTGCGGGCACGTGAGGCCATGCAAAAACCTGCCGGTCCACAAGCAACCTCGACGCACGCGCGCTCTGCCGTCGGCGGAACGAAATCAAGCCGCGCCAGCTCCAACGCCATGCAATCCGCGCACGCCGCGAAGGGGGTTGCTGGGTCCGAGCCATCCGCGAGGCGCACCCGTGGTGAAGTAGGGGTTGCCGGTGCCGGCGCCAAACACGACCACGCGGCCGGCCTCCAGGTGGCGGATGGCGCGGCGGCGGATGTAGGGCTCAGCGACCTCCTTCATCTCAATAGCTGTTTGCACCCGCGTCGGCACGCCGAGCTTCTCCAGGGCCGCCTGAGGGGGTGGGCAGGTGTGTGCGCGTGAGTGAGGGTGGGGGTCAAAGACGGGGCTTCAAGCGGGGGTTTTCTTTCCGGCTGTGTCGATGCGAGAGGCTTGGGGCAAACACATGTATGTGTTGGTGGGGAGCCGGACCCCACTGCAACCCAGCGCGCTTGACTGCGCCACAAGGGGCGCCGCACCCTGGCAGTGTGACTCTGCACCAGGCCACTGCATTGCGCTCTGCTCGCCTGCCAAGTGCACACACACACACACACACACACACACACACACACACACGCGCGCGCGCGCGCACGCACGCGCGCGCACATCCACATAAACATGATCTGAACCCCTTACCTGCATGCACATGGCGTTCATGACTGTGGCCAGCATCCCCACGTAGTCAGCGGTGGCGCGCTCAATACCCTCCCACGCCTGCTGCCCCCGCCAGTAGTTGCCGCCGCCGATGGTGATCGCCACCTGCAATGAGGACGTTGGCGCGACCGAGGCATGGGTGATGGGCGTCAAGCTGCAGGGGGCGGTGGTGCCGGGGGCGGCCGCCTTGAGCAGTCACGTCTCAAAAGGCCATCTTGCACAGGTGAGGGCGCGTAATTGCAGCTTCTGGGCGCTGCAGCACGACAATGTGCGCCCACCTGGATGCCGCGGCTGTGCGCCTGCTGCACCTCCGCCGCAATGCTCTCCAATACGGAGGGGTCGAGGCCGAAGCCGCGGCTGCCTGCCAGCGCCTCGCCAGACACCTTCAGCATGATGCGCTTGAACCTGAGGTTGACATGCGTTGACTTTCAGCCAATGCAGACGCTGGACCGTCGAATTTTGAGTCGGAGCGGCAGAGAGCAGCGAGGGCCTGGGACAGCCGCCGCAACCTGTGTGTCAGCGGCGGCTGCCCAGCCATCCGCACTGGCGTGGCCACTCACTTCGGAGTGCCGACGGCCTGGCCCGCCAGGCTTGCGCTCTGCCGCTGGCGCAGCGCGTCGTACATACGGCGCTCTGTGGCTTCCGGCACGCTGAACTCTGGAGAGATAGTCGCCTCGATGCGCGCGGCTGTGCGGCTCGACACCCGGGGACGCCGGCCCACAGTGGATGCCAGTGGCCCTGATGGGCGGGCCACCGATGTCGAGGCGCGCTGACATCTCGATAAGTGCATAGAGGCGCTGCGTAGGTCGCGGTGCAGCATGGTTGCTACTGTTGCACGCGGCTCGCGCGGGATGGAGGGCCCGTGTCCTGCGTGTGTACTTTGAATAATGTCGTGGCTTTTGGCGATAGTTGGCTGGCCTGCCCTAAACATCTTCCATGATTTTTCAGGTGCATGACAGGGATCGTCGGCCGCGACACAGCCTTCGTGCCTCAGCAACACGACAATAAGTGCGATGCGCATCTTGATTACAGCTCACATATTGATGCGGTAGGTTACTGGTCGCGGCCCATGCTGACGCTGCCATGATCGTGCAACCACACACAACATCCGGTGGCTCGGGGCCGGCCCCTGCCAAGTGCATTGAAGTGTGAGTTTGATTGGTTTGTTTTTAGGGGTTATCCCAGGTGCATCTCGCTGAACCTGGTGTTTGTGGATGCTGGACCCCTTGGCACTGGTTGACTGGTCAAACCTCTTCAGAAGCCCCCCTGGGAGTGGGAGGGGAGGGGCCATGTCATGCAGCCCAGAACCGTTCGAGACACATTTGCTGACTATTAGAACCAGGATAGTGAGACCTATGCCGGGCCCGACCAGCCTGTTGCAAGTAGCAGCAGCAGAAACTGATGTACACATCTGTTACTGGTATAGACATGTTTCCCTCACGGGTTGACCTCCGTGGCGGTCCATCCGGGCGTTGGCTGCGGCACCTCCAAAGGCACCTCGCCCTCCCCGTCGCCCCCGCTCGTGGCCTCGCCCAGCGTGGCACCCGCGGGCCCCTGGCCCTCACCCCCCTGCGACCCTGCTGCTGCCGCCCGCGCGAAGCTGATGCGCCGATTCTGTTTCAGGTTGATGTAATCAACCTGGGTCAAAGGAGAGCGGGGGGCGGGCGTTGCGTGTGTTCATGCGCTGTGGGAGGGGTAGTGATAGAGTGGGCCAAGGCAGACGCGCGGAGCAACGGGATTTGTTGACATGCACTCATAGAAAAGAAGCGCAACAAGTAGAAAGGGGCAATCCACATACACTGCAACTGCATAATGCAAGGCACAGCTGTAGAGACTCCACAGTAGGAGGATTGCCGCACACACCAGCACTCCAATCAAAATGGGATTGTGTATTCTTATCCAACAAGCGCCATCCCCGGCCGCCCTGCCCACCTCATCGACATGCAGCACCACCAGGCAAAAGTCGGACACAGGCTCCCCTGCAGACTCTGGTGCCGGCTGCAGGGGAAGGGCAGGGTCACAGGTTTGGGTTGACACCTGGGAAGGTGGTGCGCATGGGTTCAAACACCAGCAAAAGCACTGCAAGTCGCACACAGCAAGCAAAGTTCTGGCTGCAAGTGCAAATTGTAAAAGATCATGGGCCCCTGAATCATTCACACCTGCAGGAAAAGGCCCTCATCCTCTGGCAGGCGAGGCAGCCCCGGGTGCGGCCACAGGAACTGGAGCCTGGCTGCATTTGCAAATGGGAGGGGTCGATTTGCTTGATTCGGGACGAGGACGCTCGCGCTGCTCTGTCGCTCTCCGCTCACCAACGGCGCACCCAGCCCTTGCTGCCGGCGCATTGGCTGCGCCATGCCTCAGCCAGCGACCGGCTGGAACGCCGACGGCGGCGGCGCACCCGCGTCCGACATGCTGCTCCAAGCCTTGGCGCGCGCCGCCGACAGCTGCGCGTCGTCCCTGCCCGCTTGGACGATGTCCAGGCGGCCGCTGATGCGGTACTGTTCTCGCGTGATGGGCAGGTACCATGCGACCTCGGCCGCGGGGTTTGACGCCACCTCTGAAACCTGGCAGATGGGAGGGCGGCAGGACAGCCCGTTCCAAAACGGAGAAGAAGACCTCGGTAATCATTCTGCAGACAAGAGTCATCTTGCATGCTGGAACGCAGACAACCAAGAGGCATGCTGGTGCTGCCCACTCACAATCAGTGCAAGAAATACGCGAACCGTGTGTGGCGGAGGGAGAAGGGGCTCGCCTAGTTGCCTCTGCCCTCACGCGCAAAAACAAGCCAAACTTACCTTGTTGCTGCGGCGGTCCGTCACAAAAGTCAAAGAATCAGCGCCATCCAAGAAGCCCCTGCAGTGGTTGCCCGGCAGTCACTGTGTGACGTGCGACAAAACTCCACGGCGAGGCCGGCGGCTCGTGTCGGACGGCCGTGAGCGAGCGGCTGAGACGCTTGCTGCTGCGGGGGTCACATCGCTGGCTGCTGCGGGTCACATCGCAGTCCACCCTACCTGAACACAACCGTGCGGTTGGCAGGACGCCCGTCTGGGCGCACGGTGGCTAATTGAACGTATCTGGCATAGGCGAGGCTGCGGTTCTTGCCGAGCGAGCGCTGAAGCATCGTGCGCCACTGCGGCACGGTCGGTGCTGCGCTCATCGTGCTGCGCAAGCCTCTTGGCGGCGCCTTGACCTGATTTGGTTCAAGCAAATTGTGAATGTGATTCTCTGGCAATTCCAGCTGCAGGTTGGTGCCTACACGGTCCCGTTTCAAGGCGTCTGGCAAGCGGGTGGATCGCGCGAATGGAGCGACTGTCCGAATAGAATCAGTGTAACCTCATTCAACAAGGATGAGAGTGCTAAATTTGTGGATTGAATGGTGTGTGCGGCAGTCTTTTGCCCAAGCAACGGGTGCCGCTGCGTGGCAGCGTGAGCCTCGCTGTCGCCGTCGTCGTCACTAGCTGTGCACCATTGTCCGCCTTTCATTTGATGTATTACATGCGAGTGGGCTTTCACTGTCTTTGCGGTTACTAAAACCGCCATGCAATTGAGATCTCAACAGGTGCCCAGAGTCGGTAGCATGTCCCAACGACACATGTAGACTACAGTTGACTGGGCGGCCAGGGCGACAAAGGCACACGAGCCTTTGTTACAACGGGACGTTGGTCCCTCTGTTGGTGGGAGCACAGCAGGCCGCCCTCACAGCCAAGGGCCATGAGGCCTTGCATTCGTCGGTTGAAGTGATGAAATGACAGGCCTGCGTAATCATGCAGTGCCGCGGAGGCGGCGAGTACTGCACAGCGCAGCAAAGCCAGCAATGAAGCAAAAGAAAGGCCCGCACCATCACGCAAGTGCTGTCCTGCGCTACTGTTGAACGAATTCCAGTTCCAAAGTGCAAAGCTGATGATTGCATGACATCACCGTCCACCCCCACCGCAGCTGCAGCTGCAGTCTGCCAGCGCCTGCGAGTGGGAAGCGCGCCGCACACGTTTGGCGAGGCGCGGCGTGTACCATGGACAGTGTACCACCAGAAGGACCCACATGTCAGGGAGCTGCGGCGGCCCGCCGTCGCATGGGCTCGCACTGCCAATTGCCAGCTGGCGATGAGGCCGCGTCAAGGGCACGCCGATCGACGCTGCTGGCAGCAGGCGCGGCCAAGACAGCCAGCATCGGCTGGTCCTCGCATGACCAAGCCCCTCCATGCCTGCCCACCCCTTTCGCACCCTCACCTGAGACAGCATCGCGTTCAGGCCGACGCCAGCGCCGCGCCCCAGCAGCCGCGAGAGCGTGCGCTCCTCGGACACCCGCTCTTGCTCCAGGCCCCGCAGGGCGGCCTCGAGCTCCTGCACACGCCGCTGCAAATCGCCGGGTGGCAAGCTGCCGCCGCCGCCGGTCAGAGACTGCTGGTCCTGCTGCTGAAGATGCTGAGCCACGCCCAGGCCCGCCTGCCTTTGGGACGACAGCACGACACCAAGCCCCAACCCGAGCGCCAAGCCCAAGAGCAGCGCCAGCACCACAAGGAGCAGCGAAAACGACGGCTTCTCGGGCTTCTTGGCAGCCGCCGCCGCCACAGGCGGGG